GTTCAGCCAGTTGAGCCCATCAGGTGCCACTTTGAAACGCGAAACCGATCCGATGGGAAACAAATGACCTGAGGATACACGAGTGGACGGTATTGCTAAGTAGGTGGGTGGGCATGCACACAGCACACCATGAGAGAGCTGAATCACTTGTCACCCGAGCACACCAGGCAGCACCATGGCGTGTGGGAGCGCGAGTTCCTCTTCGACCATTCCGATGGCCGCTTTGAACTCTGCGAGGAGGAGGCAAAGTTGGAAGACGGGGTCCTCGCCATTGTTTTGAAGTGGCTCGTCATACTGTCAGGTTCCGACTTCTTCGAATTAAGTGGAAAGAAAATGAAAGAAATGTGCTTTTGGAATCTTGTGGGAACTTTCTTTTGCCGAAGCTTAGCAGTGCCTCATCCAGGAAGTCTTTGCAGCCCCGAAAGGGGAAGCTCCAGGGCAAAGCTCGGGCACGCGCGTCCTACCAAGCTTAAGGCTGGCTCAGTTGGCCTTGGTAATGGCCCTTACATCGACTAATCTTCAGGCCAATGCCCATGCATGTGGTTGTTGGATGTTGTTGGTAAATATAGAGATGGGTGCGCAACTTTCTTTCAGCATGTTTCAGTTGCCAGTGGCTTCAAAACTTCAAGTTGTGCAGGTCTAAAACTTGACTCCAAGTTATTTTCATCCTGTGCTTTCACACGGCATATTGCTGACAGACAGTCAACTTGGAGAGGTCCAGCCTCGCCTGTCCTGCCCTTTGAGTGCACTTCTTTTGATTTGGTCTCGGATGTCAAGCTGCCCGCCGGTTTGCAGGTCTGACAGAAGGGTGTAGAGGGCCTTCGTGGCATTCAGACTGATCGTTTTTTGGGGGGTTGACTGGCTGGCACGTGATGGCCCCGGCCCATTTTGACAATTTGACTTGCTGATATTTAGTATCCACGCGAACTGTTCATTGGACAAAGAAACCAACATCCTGCCACTGCTTGCTACCTCCCCATCAGACAGCCTGGTCAACCCCATGTAGTTGGTTTTGCAGAGGCCTACGCCTCCTTGTCACAAAGCAGCTTAATGGCGTGAATGTTGTGAATTCTTGCTGATCAGTTGCACTGTTCGCTGCGAGGATGTGCGAGGTCTCTCATATGCATGTACTTGTCTTCCCCTTGCATTCATGCAAGCGTAGAATCCTAGTTCCCGGGTTCCCTTTCTTTAAGATTGTTTCAGTACATTTCAAGTGCACAAGGCACCAGAGCCTTGCAAGACCATTGCAAGGAACGCGGATCTAGTAGATCCAACCAGTCAAACCTGAGCCAAACCTGCTCGGTTCCAAACGGTTCCAGGGTGCTTGGCTGCTTACCTTCAGCTGGGCAACTCGAAAAAAGGCTGTCCTGAACTCACAAATGACTGAAGATTGTGACACCATTCTTCAAGTCCAGTCCAATGCATGGAATGGTTGGCGCAATTTGTGCTGCTGAGATCTTGGTTGATCTCGTCGGCTCGTCAAGTCTCTTCAGAGAAGTAGAAGTTGTTGGAGTTGCCATAGGCAGCCTCCGGGCAGGTTTGAAGGCAAGATGTCCACCGTTTTTCGTGGTTTTTGTTGTGGTTTGTTTTATGTGGATGGGGCGGATGGGGCATGGCTGTCTGTTTGGAACAGATTGAAGCATATGCTTCTTGATGGGTCTCTCTCCCCATGACCAGCCCTGTGTGAAGCGAATGGCACCTCACAGCTGCTGCTTTTCCGTGAATAAACCCTTGGTGCTGCTAAGCGTGAAATCCCTTGGTGCTGCTAACTTCTAACTTCTCACAAAGCAGGTGTGCTCAGTAGATGTTTTCTTTTTTGTCGGCAAATTCTTGTCTCAGCAGGTTCGGAGTAGTAGTGTAAGTAGGTGACATACTGTAAGCCAGACACTTGTAGACCGGAATTTGTCATGACCCATTGCAATTACACGGTAAATATAAGCTTTGCCATCAATCCATCCATCCATCCAGGTGGAGACACCGACCTCGAGTCAGAAGACTTCAGCCACTTGGTCAGGACTGACCTGCGCAGCGGCCTAATGCAGGGGTGGACGGCGCTTTGTGATGCCTACGGCCGAAGATTCCTGCTGCTTTGGAGCTGTCAAGACCCACACCTGCGAGGGCATAAGGGTTTCGCTGAATGACCTTGCCCAAGATCATTTCTGAGAGTTCCAGCGGTGATGTGTGTTTCAATCGTCGGCTCTCCCACTGCTTGAGCATGGTTTGAGTTGGTTTGATTTCCTATTCCTCCACCAAGACTGCTCAACTTCAGGCAGCACACAGCAGTGCCAAAGTGAACCGAGCAACGATAGTAGCAAACAAAGCGGTTGATGTGGTGTTATGGTGTGCGAGGATGTCACTTGGATGGGGGACTTTATGCGAGACATCATGAGACTGGCTGTTAGATCAGCGAACGAGGGTGGCTGCGGCTGAGGCCCCCAGCTCGGCTCTACCCAAGTCCCAAAGGGAGTTTGTTCGCTATAGTTTATTCGGCCATGCCGGTCGCGCCACGAGATGACAAACGCAACACACAGTGTGTTTGCAAAACTGACTTGTGCTTAGTATGGGAAATCAGGGAATGGATCCAATGGAATCTCTATTTTTGGCTCATTCTCTTATTCCCTACTAGCAGTCAGAAAATTGGCCACATTTAAAACTAAAACAGTACGCATATATGACAGTATAAATAGGGCATCCCAGGATTCGACATATGCTTTGGACACCGAGGTCGCAGAGCATTTGGAGATGACTCTCTCCGACTATATAATTATGCCCTATACGGAAGGTGGGTGGTTTGCGTCGTGCTGACTGGAGTGAGAAACATCGATCACACGCAGTTACTGCGGTTGCCTGTTTCTGGAGAAGAGGAAGTAGAGGACGTGACTATAGGTACAATCAAATGATGTTTTCACAGCGGCTTCTATCGAGAGACATCGAATCTCTACTTGCGATATGCCTCACTGCTCATCAGCCATTGTGGCTCAACTTGCAAGGTTGGTGACAGCAGGATTTCTCTTCGACTCGACATGAGCGGCACTCTGAGCTTGAGCTTTCCGCATTGCGAGGCTCTTGTTCTTCTTTTTGTTGCTGGGAAAGTTAGCAAGATTCATGCAATGAATTTGTTTTCCTCAATAAGTCCAGGCAAAATCCATACAAACGCCTACTGGCCAGACTCTAGGACCCTAGTGTTCTTTTGGAGAGCCCTGGCAGGTGAAACTGGGCCATGAGGAGTTGTGCCGGACCAATCAGTGGTGCCAGAGCTTTGCATTTGCTGGGGTCGAGTTCAACTGGTACTTGGAAGGATCACGTTTTTGGCTGACGTCCACCAGGCCAGCCGTCTTTGAGGTGAACTGTCGCGTGACCGGAGAAAAAGTGGTGCTTCCAAGCTCCAGGGAACAGGGCTATCACGGTCACTCCGCATCCGATTGTGCCGATGGCACCGTTCACGCGTTTGACATCACAATCCTGGAGCTGGATGGGGTGTGTCTCAGGTTGAGGTCACAAAATGCTTGTATGAACGACTTGGTGAAGCTCGGGAAGCAAGCAGAGGAGCAACTCCTGTGGGTCTCTCAGGACCTGCTTGCCATGCGTGCAGGAGACCACCACCAAGCTGCGGCAGAATACCACCAAGCTGAACACAGGACGAAGACCATGGTCACTGCTTGTGTGGAGATTCAATCCAAGTTGCGTTCCTTCCTGCAGCAGCAGCGCTACCAGCAAGAATGTGCCACCGCCTCTTCGAAGATTCAATGCACGTGGCGTCAGTTTCTGCAGCAGCAGCGCTCCCAGCGAGACTGTGCTGAGCAGGATCGGCGGAACAGGCGCCAGA